AGTCTCCATCCCCTGCTAGATGCAGGAGGAAACATGGTAACAAGTGATGAGGAAAAGGCTGAGGTGCTTAATGCCTTCTTTGCCTCAGCCTTTAGTAACATGACTAGTTGTATTGATGGAATCCAGCCTCCTCAGCCAGAAGACAGAGACTGGGAGAACGACCCCCCTGCATTCCAGGAGAAGACAGTCAGTGACCTACTGCATCACACAGACACACACAGATCTATGGGACCCGATGGGATACACCCGAGGGTGCTGAAGGAGCTGGCTGGGGTGCTTGCCAGGCCACTTTCCATCATTTACCAGTGGTCCTGGCTGAGCAGGGAGGTCCTGACTAACTGGAAATTGGCCAGTGTGACGCCCATCTATAAGAAGGGTCGGAAGGATGATCCAGGAAATTACAGGCCTGTCAGCTTGACTTCGGTGCCCAGGAAACTGATGGAGCAGCTCATCCTAAACACCATCACGCAACACATGAGGGACAACCAGATGCTCAGGCCCAGTCAGCATAGGTTTATGAAAGGCAGGTCCAGCTTCACAAACCTGATCTCCTTCCACAACAGGACAACCTGCTTATTTGATGAGGGAAAGGCTGTGGATGCAGTTTACGTTGACTTTAGAAAGGCTTTTGACACCATTTCCCACAGCATTCTCCTGGCAAAAATGACTGCTCGAGGTTTGGACAATCGCACACTTCGCTGGGTAAAAAAACTGGCTGGACGACCGGGCTCAGAAAGCTGTGGTAAACAGAGTTAAATCCAGTTAGAGGCCAGTCGCAAGTGGTGTTCCCCAGGGCTCGGTTTTGGGGCCACTCCTGTTTAACATCTTTATTGATGATCTAGATGAGGGGATCGAGTGCACCCTCAGTCAGTTTGCAGATGACACCAAGTTGGGTGGGAGTGTTGATCTGCTCGAGGGTAGGGAGGCTCTGCAGAGAGACCTGGACAGGCTGGAGCCATGGGCTGAGGCCAACTGTAGGAGTTTCAATCAGGCCAAATGCCGGGGGCTGTCCTTGGGCCACAACAACCTCCAGCAGTGCTACAGGCTTGGGGAGGAGTGGCTGGAGAGCTGCCAGTCAGATTGGAACCTGGGCATGCTGACTGACAGCCGGTTGAATACGAGCCAGCAGTGTGCCCAGGTGCCAAGGCGGCCAATGGCATCCTGGCTTGTGTCAGCAATAGCGTGGCCAGCAGGGACAGGGAAGGGATCTTGCCCCTGTACTTGGCACTGGTGAGGCCGCACCTCGATTCCCATGTTCAGTTTTGGGCCCCTCGCTACAAAAAAAGACATAGAGTTACTTGAACATGTCCAGAGAATGGCAACGAAGCTGGTCAAGGGTCTGGAACACATGTCCTATGAGGAGCGGCTGAGGGAACTGGGGGGGTGGTGGTTTAGTCTGGAGAAAAGGAGGCTGAGGGGAGACCTCATCGCCCTCTACAGCTACATCAAAGGAGGTTGCAGAGGGCTGGGGATAAGTCTCTTTAACCAAGTAATAAGCAATAGGACAAGAGGTAATGGCCTCAAGTTGCTCCAGGGAAGGTTTAGACTGGATATTAGGAAGCATTTCTTTACAAAGCGGGTTGTTAGGCGTTGGAATGGGCTGCCCAGGGAGGTGGTGTCCCCATCCTTGGAGGTGTTCAAGAGTAGGGTCGATTTAGAGCTTAAGGATATGCTGTAGGTGAGAACTGTGCTAGGTGAACAGTTGGACTCTAAGATGATCTCCAGGGTCCTTTACAACCTAGATGATTCTGTGAATTAATTCAAAGAGTAGTTTCAGAAGCAAAAACACTGAAAAGACCTTGCCATTTGGTTCTTAGTGTAGAGGTTAAGATACAATAAGAAATTTTTGTAGTTAAAACTGAGTCTGAACTTAAAGTGACTATTTTTCTTAAAGTGGCAAATATACTCTGTAACTGCATAGTTGAGTTTGACGCTACACTGTTCCCTCCAATAAAACTTAACAAGTGTTTCATTTAAAAAAATATCTGCTAAGAAATAAGAAAAAAGCTCCCTAGAGTGGCTGATATTAACAATCAATATCACAGAAAGATTTTTCATCAACCATGATTTAACAACTATCTTAACACATTAAAGTGCAATCATAAACCAATTACCTCCATATAAGTACATTTAAGTCAAGTTATCTACCCCGCACAGAAGTGGTTTACTTCAAGGAGCAAGTAAGTTGGGGTTTTAACTGTTGGATTTAACTTTGCCTTAAGTAAATAACCAAGAAGTATAAACACAAGAAACATCCATTCTCACTGGTTGGTAACTATGCACAGATTAGGTGTAACAGAAATTTCTCTGTTAGCAATGTAACATTTCTCATTCAAGCAATTACAAGGCTTAATACATTTGTGAATATCCTCAGGTGTCAGCTTTTACTATTGGACAAAAATTCAAGAAAAAAAACTTATTGGTATTAAATTTGAAGGTTCTGCCTGCAACTCCCAGTCCTTAAGCCACAAGTATCTAGAGGCTGGTAGAGTGCAAATGGCAATCATCAGTATGCACTTGCCATGTGCTTTTACTGTCTTTCCTAGGTATGCACTAGCAGAGAAAGCACAGAAATGTTCACATTTCAAAATAACATATGGTATTGTTCTTTAATGGCTGATAACACTTACAGTGTTCACTTAGGACACAAATTGACATAGTGCAGATGTAACAGTAACAATTACAGGGTAATGCCTACCAGACATGAAGTGGTAATCAACACAGGTTTCACTTTTGAAAGGGACTCTGTTTTAACTACTGTTGTAGTTTAACAAATTTCTGTATCAGTTAAACAGAATCACTGTGACCTTCAGTGATTTTACAGCTAGTTTCTTTAAATTTGAAAGAGTTGAAGAGTGAAAGCATGTTTCTGGCTTCAAAATTCGTAGTATTTCAGTTCTAACTGCAATACACTGAAATCAAGAACATACTATCTTCTCCATATCCAGAAGCTAATACATCTGCCAAGAGGTTTTCAACACTTGATCAAACTCTAGTTTGAAGTGTTTCAGATGGTAATTTCTCCTGGTTCAATCACGTGACTTTCTTTTAAACCTCAGCAGACTTAGTGTAGCACACAATTTAACAGATTACTGGAAATTTAGACATTTGAAGGCTGACAGTTTCCACCAAGAATACATATAGGCTTACTTTAAACTAAAGCTATTAGAAATTAAATGCTTTACATCTTTCTTATCCATTCCAGTAAGAAAAGGTTAAGATGTGATGTTGATGTGGCAGAAATAGGCGAGATCAGGAAGTTAAAAAAGAGCATCTCACTCCCTTGTGACTCGAGGCAACTTCTTTAACCTGCCCACCTTTGTTTTCTCATTGCAACTTTGGGCTTTGTTTATTCTTCAAAAGATTTGACAAAACAACTAGTCTTCTAAAAGAACAAGCATTATATCAGTAACAATAATTATGTACAGTGCGAAGTCAGATATGCTCATGTCTCCAGTTATTTTTAACTGATACAAATGGTGGGAACTAATATATAATTCACGATAAAATCCCGTGTTTGATAACCTTTTAGATAGAAAGCATTATTATTTAGTGTTACTACAGCTATAAGCAGTGAAGATCAGTGCAATATCTCAGTCACGCAGGAGCTTTTCCACCTGCAGGTTTCTTAGCAGTTCATTTTATGTGACTAACCAACGTCTTCCCATAGTCAGCAGTAATTAAGACAATTTCCATATGACCTTATTCTTAAAGCGTACCCTAAGTCTCCTTTATGAAGCAATCTACACAGTCCTTCACAAACCTTTCTGTCCCTATTTCTCAACCTGACTCTGATGTCTTCATTGTTCTGCTCTTCAGCCTTCCCTACCCATCTTTGATTGGTAACCCTCTTACCTTCTCAGCCTAACATACTATTTGTTTGAAAGGACAGTACCCACAGGTATTCTACTTCTAGATATTCCTCCTGCATTTTAAAAATATTTTTATAGTTCCCCAATAACTCAACTTTTTTTTTTTTTTCCTCCTCTTTCCAAAATTTCAACTCCCTTTTAAAATCTCAGCTGCAACTCTAATTGCTCCTTCACCTTTCAACTGGGAAAACAGAAGTAGAGTTTGATTCCAATTCTCGATTCTATTGATTTTGAAAAATCAAAATATAGGGGAAAACAGGAGAGGAAAAAAAAATTAAAAAAAGCAATAATGTTTGCTTTTATACCAGGATTTGTTTTCTCACATCTGACATCCCTCATCTTACTCCTTAGAAAACACCCTGTGCAAAGTGACATAGTGCATTTCATTTCCACTGCCCAAATACATTATCTTCCCAAATAACACAAAATAAGAGTGATATCAGTGAAACGTGCAGATATCCAGATAGTTCTTGCTTTTAGAACACAGAAGCATTACCTGAAGAGACATGAGCAACTGACACAAAAACATAAAGGAAAGCAGACATGCCAGTAGTGGGCACTGCAATTTAATCTCTGATCAACGGAACAATTTGCTTGCTGTGTGCAACACACAATTTTTTATGTTTGTTAGACAGCAAGACCAGCTTTGAGATACACTACAGTGTGCAAAATTAAAAATCCAATTACAATAAACCTCCACTTGAGTGAAGTTTTGTTATTTATAAATTACACTGAGATTGGTTTTTATTTTAGTTAGGCACCAGTAGCTGAAGTTTAACCATCCAGCAATCCAACTGGCAGTCTCAACATTTCATTCTTTATATCTAATACATCTGAGGAACTAATTAAAGATAATTTAGTCTTAATGAGGCAGAGAGAATATATCAGTGTTAATTCAAATAGAAGCTGATCCATGAAAGTCAAGACTTCCAGTTCTAAAGCATCTTAGACCTAACAGGGGATTATTACACAACAGAAGAATAGCTGATATCTAAGCTCACCTGATTAATGTAAACTCTGCATATCAGCGTCTAATAAAGCACAAATCCTACTAAATTTCCAAATATTAGAGTCCAGATTTGAAAAATACAGGAAGCCTATAAACCATTAAGGGAAGACAGTTTAAAATCTATGGGGTTTGGTTTAGCACACTGGGGTGAAAAAGCCACTTCACTGTTAAACATTTGCTTGAATAGATGAAAAAATACACCAGCTAACACACACAAAGAATCTCTCTGGGGTTACAGATTCAGAAGCACGCAATCAAAAGCATATCCTGATAGCTGAAAACACATTTTTGATCCACACTGTCTTGTTTTTACTTAAGTACTTTTTGTAGCTATCATAATATCCAAAGCAGACTATAAAATGATGACACACATGGACTCTGAATTCAAAGACACAAACAGTACTTCCACTTCCAGCCCTCTCAAAAGCAGCGCTGGCTTACACACACTGTACCACTTCACTACTCATTTCCCTCCTGAGCACTTCCCTCTTCTTCATTCTGGCCTAGAAGTTGGCATGGCTCTACAATGACCTGGACTGAGAAACTGATCAAACTTCTTGTCTTATTTGTTCTTCCATCCAGTTTATTTGCAACCAGGTGCCAGCACAAAGAGGTAGTGCTAAGCAGCCTGTGATTTTAAGCAACACTGTTATTTTGTCTTTGAGCTGGGATGGGATGCCCTACATTGCAAAGCTTTACCAGAAGTACTTCCCAAGGCAGCTGAGAGCTTACAGGAGCAAAAGTTTTTTTACTGGTACAGCTAAATAAAAACAGTCCACTCAACTGACAAACTATACTGGCCAAATAAGTCCTCCTCCAGCATAAAGCTATTTTTCACAGGGTTTTTTTTCCAGAATAGTTAAACTGATCAGAGGATTTTTTACATCCAGAACTCTAGAGTTGTGCCAGAAAAAGCTTTATGGCATAGAGCTGCTAAGAGATTTGTCCAAGTTTCTTAGCCAAAACCTTTTGTAAATCAAGAATAACCTAGGCCAAGAACATGTTTGGTATCATCCATGCGCATGCACTGCACAAAGCAACAGCGTGCTACAGTATTTAATTTTTTAAATTAACTTAGTTGTTTGCTTTAAGGAAAGCACCTGCATTCAAAACAGCCACATGGAGTCTGTAAGACCTGCTGCAACACACAGGAATAAGGTATGCAGTAGAGTCACTGTCTTATGCCTGACAAGTAACAGGTGCTTAACAGCTTTAGCATGTTATTTGAAATACTATTCAAATTCCCACCTGAGTAACAAAATAATTTTATTTTAAAATAAATTAAATGGATATACAACAGGCAACAGCAAAGACTGTTACACAGTCTTTATTATTATGATTATTCCTCAGCTTCTGAATTGTTGCAAATCTATACACACAAAATTCTTGACCATCATTTAATGTCACAATGCAAATCTAAGTTTTCAGATCAAACATAGATCCTAAACAGTAACAGAATTTCTGTATTTTACAAGTGTGGTTTCTCTATTAATTTACTAAGCAGATCTATACTTTTGGCATAAAGATTAATTCATACATCTCATTTGTACTTTTCCAGATGAAAAAAAATTTAGTAAAAAGTTTCTCTCACCCCCTGCTTTGTTTCAGTTCTCAATCTATGTCCAAAGAGAGGACGACATTCAGAAGTTTAAAATATTGTTAATACCTTAAAAACAGACTTAAACATAAACACTTATAGTATTTGTAACATTCTGCCAACTTACCACTGCTTCCACAGTCTGCACAAGACAACAGCTCTTCTGGTTTTTTCTCACGATTTGATTCTTTCGTTCCCAAACAAAAGCTACATATCGGGATGGGATCAGCTCGTGGCTAGATTGAAAAACAGACAGAGTTAGCTAGAGAAAGAGGGAAAAGAAATAGCAATAAAAGAAAAAAAGAGTCTTACTTCACTTACCTGACATTTTGATGTACCACTTATTAATTATCAAGACAAATGTCCATTTTACTAACTTTAGAATAACAAATTTTACTGTCTTAACATACTTTATAAATATTAAGGTGGGTCATAATAAACAACCTCATGTACTAATCCATGTAAACCTCTCCAACACAAGACTAGTGTTATCAGAAATGAGGAAAAATTAGAACTTGGGACACTATTCCTGAACACACAATTTCAATGTCAGAACACAATCACTTGGTCTTCAGATGCAATAGCACTCAGAGATTAAGACGCAAACTGGATTTTATTATAGATTAATATAGTTCCTTTCCACACAAAAACCAGGACTTTTTATAAAAACTCTCAAAGTTAAGACATACTTTATTACTTTTCCATCCAATACAACTCTCACCTCTATCAAACTATCATTTTAGGGTAAAAACACTGTATTCAACAGATCAACATCCATTACAGTCTGAGGAGTCCCATCAGCTATGATAGTCAATTGGAATAAAAAACCCATGCAAATCTTTCAATGTCTGGAAGCGATACACAGAACTTTTCAGAGAAAAATTTAAAAACTGACACAAACTTACTCCCTGATCTTCCCAATCTCTTATGTGACAAACTATCTGCAATTTAATACCTCAGTTTCTTCAGGTAAATTTTAGAATTATTTTATTATTTAGAACTATTTAGCCGCATCATCCAAAATATTCATTAATGTCTACATAAAAGTATCTGTAAACAGATCTGTAACAAATAAAATAATGTGCAACTATTTTTTCAAGTGGGATACTCAAATAATAGAGTACCTTCCCTGGCTGGCTTGTAGCACCTAGTATCACAATTACACAAAAATTAAAAACAGTTTCTTTCATAAAGTCATAGTTTCCAGGTTTAGCTAAACAATGCTATTAGTTTTATATATCAAAGTAATTATTTGTTGTTTTCACCTTCAATTTTTACATTTCCACTCTATGCCACAATACTTTGAGAGCTGACAGACTATCTTCACTTGACCTACAAATCTGTATTCCATTAGAGTGGGGAATGCTTGTTTTTAAGGGGATTCTTAAGAAGGCATCAGTTCCATGTAGATATGCCCTTATACTCCAACACAACGTAATACAAAAAGACTGAAACTAGGTTTATATTATTAAGCTTTAGGTCTTAAATCTTAATCTTTAGATCTTAAGTACCAGATTCCAAAGAACACTGACACCAGCAAGGTAAAGTTGTCCTACCCAGACAAGAGGAGCATGCATATCCTCATCCTACCCTACAACCACTTCTATATAAACATACCCTCAAGCATAGTACATTTTCTGAAAAGCTTAGTCCTCAGAAGGTCTGATCACTGTTCGTCTCTTCACAGTCCAATTATTGGAATACTGACATACTTGTATACCCCAAAGAGTACACATAAAAGATACCAGAGCTGAAGACTTGTCGTAAGTATGGAGATATCTGTTCTCTGCCAGAAACTACAAAAGGGAACTGCAATATTACCTTCTTATAATTAATGAGAACAAACACGGTCTGCAGCCCTTAGTGTTAGCAAGACCTCTCATGAATTATACGGATAGCTGAAATATTGACTTGCTACCTGGATAAAAGTAACTGAAGTTAAGAAACCGGCAGATTTCCAATTTAGTCACACTTAAGAAAAAAAAAAAATTAAAGAAAACTGATGTTCTCAGTTTTGTCAGGATGTCACTGAATGAGATCAGTAATTCTATAGGTGGGAAAGGATATACCAATTACCTGCAGAAATTTTTATTTGCATGTTAAAAACAATGTATAAACAAATAAAAGAAAATGAATTAGTTACTCTTCTTGACAATATCATAAATCAAGATATCTGTTCAATCTTTACACTTTTAAACAGGTTTATATTTGGAACAAGACAATATTAACAAAAAAAACCCTAAAATATACCAACAACCAGCTGCATAAAGATGGTCCAGAGCTATCCAAACACAACTGTTCACTTGCAGCATCTTGTGGACATTTCTTAATTGCTACTTAAAGTTTAATACAGATAATTCTAAAGGACAGATTATTCTTTTAGTGGAATCATGTAAAAATCTTGTCTTGGCAACCACACCATTCTCTTTCCCTTTGATATCAACAGTGTTTTAGCTGTTTCAGAAAGGCTCACTTGGATAAATCATTTACAAACATTACATATCATTCAAACCCAGGTCCACAATCTCATTTAAACTTTCCAATAATATTTTTTCCTTGCTCTAGAAAAAAAGACATGGCCATTATCCAACATTCATTTACTTTCCTATCTCAACTCCCACCCACC